AAAAAAAAAAAATCGCACATAACGGTAAATCGAAAGGCGAAGAGAACTTACTCATACTCATGATGGTTGATGTAGAACGCCGGAACGAGAAAAGAGCACCGGAAAGCTTGAGGATGCTGTGTTTGCCGGAGAAGGAGAGTTCAGAAAGATTGAAGGCGAAAAAGTGAAGAAGAGAAAAAGGGGAGAATACTTATAAGGGAAGTGGAAGAAACCCTAGCCCTCAAATTAAAGGCAGATTCAACGGATGAGATGGCGCACGAAATACGAAGCGGTGGAAAGAGAAAGCGTCTTATCAAAGCTCAAGACCCCATTTTTGAATTTTGAAATATATTAAAAAAAGAGAGAGAAAAAAGATTCAGACTTATCCAACCAATTCGAGATCTGATTGGGTAAACAAGTCGCTTTACGAGTCGAAATAATAAGTAGACATGGCATAAAGCAAGGACGGGCGACATGGCATATGAAAAGATTCAAGACATTCAATCGATAAAATCTACTCGTAAACTCAGAGTCGCTTCGAGTAATTTTGGGGGGGACTAGAAGATATAACCATACTATCATAGAGCGGTTTATGTTGTCCCGGCTCGGACATCGTCGAGTCGACTCACTCGAAGTCGACTCCACCCACATGCCTCCTCGTGATAATACATTCGGTCGAAGGTCCAGATGCTTTTCTTAGTCGACTTCCACCATGTCGACTAACCTAAGTCGATTCCGTCTGGAAGGATGAATAAGTATGAGGATCTACTAGCAATTGGGGAATGACCCAGCCGGCTCGAATACAAGAATATCTCGAAGTCGACTGAGGTAATCTCGGAGTCCATGGACCCCTGACGACTCCAATACACTTCAATATATCAGAGGGAAGCTATTAAAGGATAAGGAAGAATCTAGATGCTGACTAGGAGGTGGACAGAATGTGAACCGACCAGGGTATTTTGGACATTTCCAGTAAGTCGGCCAGGGCATTTTAGGGACTTCAGGTAGATGTTTTACTTCTATATAAAGGATCTGAGGTGACTCCAAAACCCTAACTCCCATTCATTCCATACATTCTCTCTTCTGCTGCTGCTCTCTTAGAGCAGCCTCTCTCTCTCTCTCTCTCTCTCTCTCTCTCTCTCTCTCTCTCTCTCTCTCTCTCTCTATCTCTCTCATATTCTACACACTTCTACATACATTATAGCTCTAGACTATAGAGCTTTCCTCTTTCTCTCTTCTGTTTACTGAATTGAGCGTCGGAGGCCCGACACCGGGACCTCTCCCGGCGTTGGGTTCTTGCAGGTATTCGCGGCGGTCTAAAAGCAATCTAGACAGATCGGAGCTCACCTCAACTGATTCACTCCAGATCTAGGAGAAGACCCATCAGTAGGCAAACCCATTACCCGACCCAATTACCCTACTCGTTTACCCGAAACCATTAAATCATATATACATACATATACATATATCACTACAAGAAAAACTGCATTTGGCGACGCTTATTAATGACGCTTATTGGCGAGTTTGTTGCTAAATTTGATGTCAGAAAAAAATAAACGTCAGTAAACAAAAAAATAAGCGTCGCCAAGTACAGTTTTTCTTGTAGTGTATATATATTTATAACTTATAATAAATATAAAAGTAGTCATGTGTTATTTTTCAAAATTAGATTATCTATTATAATTTTGATTAAGGTTTAAATTTATTTTATTTTTTATAATTTTATTATCATTTTTTGTTAATTGTATAACAAAAAAAAAATATTTAAGTTTAAATGTTATAATATTAAATAGACTATAAAAGATAAATAATCATATAACATTATTTATTCCAAAAATAATATATTTTTTATAGTTTTTTATTGTCAAACTTAGTTAATAAATTATTTCTTACATTATAATTAATTGTGAAATTATTTTATTTTATTTTTTCATATGAAATGAGATGGGACAGGAAAAACCTAAATTTAAGATTCTGGGTACCCGTTTACCCGACGAAAACCCACTAACCCGCCGGGTAAAACCCAACCCGAACTCGAAGATCACTAGCCGGGTAAGGGTCAGGTTTGGGTAGGGTAAATTATATGCGGGTCGGGTTCGGGTTTGCCAAAACCCGTACCCACCCATTTACATCTCTAGTTAGATCATCATTTAACTGTCGTGGATAGTTGATCTAAGGTTACAAACCCCGACGGAATGGTTCCGTAACGGGACCGTAGAATTTTCCCAAAATCTTTAGAACCAAATTAAGAAAGGTGTTTAACCACTAATTAATCCACATGTAACAGCAATAATAAATACACACAATCCCACCACCCCATCTTATATTGTCAAAGATAACGCATGTGCACTACACATGAGAATAATGGGGCCCAGCCACATATTGTCAAAAGAGAGGCACATGCAGAGGTTAAATTAGGCTAATATTTTACCATGTATATATCCTATATATCTTTATTTTATTCATTCATTTATTTATTTTTTTAATCTTTGATTGTGTACACACACCAAATGGCCTTTAAAGTATGTAATACACCAATAATGGGAAAGAATAGAGAAGGAGAACATGGGAATGATTGGATGAGATTCTGGTTTTCAATAAGATAATTCAATTTTCTCAATATAAAAAATATGATAATAATGGGAATAACTTTTGTCTGCTCATTTGCAGGTCTGTCACTTGCATGTGAGGTCACTGAGGTGGTTGTGTTCTCACACCTATATAAAAGGTACTAATTCTTTTGTAGCCATTTGCAATAATAATTCTTCCTTAAACAAAAATAGTTATCAAGGCTATAACTACTTCCTCTTCTAAAGATGTCCAAAAACAGAGTTTCATTACCCATTGTGCTTGCAGTTTGCTTCTGTTGTCTCGTCGTTAACGCCAATGCCTTCACGGCTTCCGGTTGGACTCAAGCTCACGCGACCTTCTATGGAGGCAGCGATGCTTCCGGGACAATGGGTACGTTTTTTTTTTTTTTGTTTTTTTCGACTTTTTACCGTTGATAACTAGATTAATAAGTAAACTCTAACTTCAAATGTGCCTACTACATTGGAAAATGCTAAAGTCCCGTAACAGAACGTTTCTTCTGAATAAAACTCTAATAAAAAAATTACCACGTCAGCATTGAGTCATATCAAACTAAAAGATCTAATAGCTGATATTGTAATGAGGAAATCATTCCCCCACAGGACTGTGTAGGCTGCCCCTACAACATTTTTCGGGGCTAATTGGGTTCCGAATGATTATGGAGTACAATAAAATGATGTACTAACATTATTAATTTGTTGTTGCAGGGGGTGCTTGTGGATATGGCAACTTGTACTCGACCGGGTACGGGACAAGGACGGCTGCACTGAGCACGGCACTTTTCAACGATGGAGCATCGTGCGGACAATGTTACAAGATCATGTGCGATTACAGAGCGGACCCACAATGGTGCAAGAAGGGGACGTCCGTGACTGTAACCGCCACGAATTTCTGCCCACCGAACTACGCTCTCCCGAGCAATAACGGTGGGTGGTGCAATCCTCCGCGCCAGCATTTTGACATGGCTCAACCGGCATGGGAGAAGATCGGAATCTACAAGGGCGGCATCGTGCCCGTCTTATACCAAAGGTCCTTTCACTAACTTATGATTGAATGTAGACAATTTACATTATAAGTACACACTTTTATTATAATTAAGATTCTAATATTCTTACACAAAATGCAGGGTGCCTTGCAAGAAGCACGGCGGAGTGAGATTCACGATCAACGGCAGAGACTACTTCGAGCTGGTCCTTATCAGCAACGTGGGCAACGCTGGGTCCGTCCGATCAGTCAAGATCAAGGGCTCAAAAACAGACTGGGTGGCCATGTCCAGGAACTGGGGTGCCCTCTGGCAGTCAAACTCCTATCTCAACGGTCAATCTCTGTCCTTCATGGTCACAACGAGTGATGGCATCACAAAGACATTCTTGAACGTTGTCCCGTCCAATTGGGCTTTCGGGCAGACGTATTCGAGCCCACTTCAGTTTTGAAGCTGCTATTGGGCTTTGTTGATGGTATTTGGGCTTTGGTAATTTTTGCAGGCCGCGGCGTGCTTACAATTTTTACCAAGAGCAGCCCGCCAAAGATATTTCGCATTAGTCGAACGGAATCTATACTTTTGTTTCGTTGTTGTTTTTGTTTTTGTTTGAGAAGAGGAGAAAGTACCAAGAAGAAATTTGAGAGAAGATTGGTTGGCCCTGTATGTAG